AATATAGGTAAACTTTCTGGCAAGGCTCCTGGGCTTTTGCTCACTCTGGATCCTGCAGCTGGCTCCTGTTCATCTGACCTCCAGTTCGAGGGACTTGAGCTAGCAGCTTACCTGCCATCTTGCCTGCTGATCTTAGGATTCATCAGTCTTCACAGCCTGTGAGCCAGGAGAAGCCTCCAGTCTGACCCACAGACTTGGGACTTTCTAGCCTCTACAACCTCATGAGCCATTTCCTTGATATAAATCTCTCTGTATGTATTTATATGCTTTTTTGCTTCTCTAGAGAGCCCAGCCTAAGACACTCACATAGAATAAAAGAAATTGAAACGACACTGATGCTCATTTCAGAGCAAAAACCCAAAGCTTGACCACACACTTCGTTGGGAAGTGTATCAGTCAGCTACTGCTAGGTAACAATCACAACATCTCCACCCTGCCTCGTGCTGTAGATCTGTGGAGCTGCTGGGGAGGCTCCTGTCCATGTGGTCTATTCAGGGCCCAGGCTACAGGCAGGGGTCCCTTGAGGAAAGCTGCTCTTATGGTGCAGGTCAGAAGCTCCCAGAGGGGCAAGGAGAAACACCCATTGCTGGCAAGCCAATTCCAACTCATAGCAACACTATCCAAGGAGTGGCTGGTGGATTCGAACTGCCGACATTTTGGTTAGCACCCGAGGTCTTAACCACTGTGCCACCGGGGGGACCCAGGGCTCCTAAGTGGAAACAAGTGATCTCTTCAGGCAGGGCTAGGAATTGGCACTCTGTCACTTCTGCCATAATCCATTGGCCTAGGCAAGTCAGATGGCCAAGCCCAAAGTCCATGCGATAGGGAAACACATGCCACCTTCAGTGGTAAGAACTTAGCTACAGGGCAAAGGCAGGGATACAGGCATGGGGGAGAAAGGGGGCTCATGTGCAATCTACCATGGGGAGGGAGGGAAAGGACAACACGCCACTGCTGGGGTGGGGTGTGCAGGGGAACAGAGGGAGTGAAAGTGGCGCAACCTCTGGTGGGGGGAGTTTAGTAGCGTGTTATTGTTAGTTGCTGTCGAGTCAGCTCCGACTCATGGTGGCCCCGTGTACAACAGAATGAAGCGTTGCCTGGTCCTATGCCATCTTCATGATTGTCGGTATGCTTGAGCCCATTGTTGCGGCCACCTTAAATTTTGAATGCCTTCCAACCTAGGGGACTCATCTTTCAGCAACATAATCAGATAATTCCGTTGTGAGCCACAAGGTTTTTTTTGGCAATTTTTAGGAGATCACCAGGCCTTTCTTCCTCGTCTGTCTTAGCCTAGAAGCTCCACCGAAACCTGTGCACCATGGGTAACTCTGCTGGTATTTGCAATACTGGTGGCATAGCTTCCAGCAACATGCAAGCCCACCATAGAACAACAAACTGACAGACAGGTAATCGTTACCAAAGTTACAGACACGTGTAGCCTTTGACGCAGGCCCTCCTCTGGGGTTTGCCCCGCAGAAATTCTTGCCTATGAGTGAAACGGTGTGCACGTAGGTTTACGCACTGAGCACTCTTGGCCTTAGCAAAAAACGGGCAACTCCAGGGCCCCTTCACAGAGCCCTGGGGTACTGTGCAGCTATTAAAAAGATGGGTGCACCATCGCGGGCTGGCGTGGAAACACTGGAACCCAGCCACCGGTGGTGGGGGTGGACATCTCGTGATGACTTCAGAGAGCAGAGAGGCCTCGACTCCTAACACGGAAGCCGCACCCCCTGTGAGTCAGCACTTCCACTCCTGGGTGCGTACCACGCAGTCATCAAATCCACATACAGGATGCCTGTATTACCCAGCGCTAGAAGCCTCTGCGTCAGGACTGGGATCAACCTGGCAAGCTCTCTCTTCCTAAAGGAACATACACAGCACTTGACAGGCCCGCAAATGACCGGGGGAGTCTCAGAACCATTGAGGCGAGAGAAGAAACCAGACATTGGAGCAGATCGAATGTACCAGTTGCTGTCGAATGGACCCCGACTCATGGTGACCCCCTGCGTGTCAAAGCAGAACTGTGCTCCATAGAGTTTTCAGTGGATGATTTTTCAGAAGCAGATAGCCAGACCTTTCTTCTGAGGCACCTCTGGGTGGACTCGAACCTCTAACCTTTCTGTTAGCAGCCAAGGGTTTCACCGTTTGTACTACCCTGGAACTTCAGACCGAATGCATGACCCCCTGTATTTAAGGACCAGGAAACAGAAGACAGAACCAAAACGTCCAGAGAACGTACCTACATCGCGATTGTACGGGACAGCAGAGAAACAGTTTCCCTCGAGTCAAGGTAGTGGGTGGGGGGGTCAGGAGGCATCTGGGGCTCCTGGGGGCTGGCCACATTGTGTTCGTGCCTGGTAGGTGGTAACCCACGAGTTTGCTTTGTCATAAATCATTGAGCTGTTATTAACTATTGTTATCTTTCTGTCTATACATTATATTTCACAATAAAAATTGCTAACTTATAAAATAAATGGAAGGGTAAAATAAATTTTGAAAAGGAATCTCTCTGTATACTACAGATAAGCTCTTCAGGCAGCTTTGTTAGGTAAGAACAAGGTATAGCATGGGGCATATAATACGCTCTTTTTGTGTAATGAAGGAAGGATAAGAATATGTATTTACATTCACTTTTATTTGTATAAACGCCAATTGGCTACAAAAGAAAGGAGAAAAGTGATTCCTGAAAAGGACATGAAAAGGGGGACTGGGGGGCAGGGGACGGTGGTGGTAAGATTTCTCGTGGGGACTGTGTTATATCAGTTTGGGTTTTGAACTACGTGAATACGTGACCTATTTTTAAAAGATTAAATTAGGGAGGAAATCCTGTAGCTGGTCACATGTGATCTTCCTGAAGCCAGGCGGACACCTCCACTCATCCCCCAGCTGAGAGCCCTCAAGGATCAGCCGCTCTCCTGGGTGGGACCCTGTGGCTGTCTGCCTGGGAGTCCCTCAAAGCCTGTCACCCCCACCCCTCAACCCAGGGCTCAGGGCCCCCTCTTTCTCTTCCTTCTTCCTGGAGTGCCCACCCCACCCCTCTCTGGGTACCCATCGCAGTGAGGCCTCCCTTCCCTGTGCCGTCTCTGCCACTGTTATCACCCTTGGCGCCCGGCCACACAGTCGTTTACTACCTGAGAGCACCTGAGGATACCTGTGAGCACCTGAGAGCACCTGTGAGCACCTGTAAACCCTGAGAGTATCTGTGAGCATCTGAGAGCACCTGTGAGCACCTGAGGGTACCTGTGAGCACCTGAGGGCACCTAAGGATACCTGTGAGCTCCTGAAGGTATCTGTGAGCACCTATAACCCCTGAGGATACCTGTGAGCACCTGAGAGCACCCATGAGCACCTGTAAGCCCCTGAGGGTATCTGTGAGCACCTGAGAGCACCTGCAAGCACCTGAGGGTACCTGTGAGCACCTAAGCATACCTGTGAGCACCTGAGAGTACCTGTAAGCTCCTGAGAGTATCTGTGAGCACCTGAGAGCACCTGAGGGTACCTGTGAGCACCTAAGAGTACCGAGCACCTGAGGGTACCTGTGAGCACCTAAGAGTACCTGTGAGCACCTGAGGGTACCTGTAAGCTCCTGAGAGTATCTGTGAGCACCTGAGAGCACCTGAGGGTACCTGTGAGCACCTAAGAGCACCTGTGAGCACTTATAACTCTTGAGAGTATTTGTGAGCACCTGTGAGCCCGTGAGAGTATCTGTGAGCACCTGTGAGCACCTGTGAGCACCTATAACTCTTTGGAGTATTTGTGAGCACCTGTAAGCCCCTGAGAGTATCTGTGAGCACCTGAGAGCACCTGGAATGCGGTACTCCGTGAGAGGACTACGTCTCATTTTCTTTTTATCCCCAGCCCTGAGCTTTATACTGTCAGGGTGAACAAGAGCCCCACAGCGGTTTTGCAACACCCACATCCCCTTCCCAACCATCTGCAAGTGGGTGTGTGGGTGAGACATAAGAGGGGGCTGTGGCATGGATCTGGGGAAGCCCCTCCAGGAGGCCAATTAAGCGCCTTCACCCCCGTTCCTGCCTGGGCCCCAGAAACAGGGCTGGTGGGAGCGCCATCAGGGACCATGAGGCCCATGGCGGGGAGGGGGCAGGATGACTTCTCGCACCCTTGATTACTGAGCCCCCATCTGAGGAGGTCACGCCCCAGTGCAGAGCTGTTGCCTCGTTCAAGCACCACATCCCACTCCCCCAGAGCCACCAACCCCTGGGTCCCTGGCCCAACACTGCCCCACATGGTTCAGGGTCCCCTGATGGCCGCTCCCTCTTCCTCGGGGCGTCTCCTGTCTCCAGGCAGGTCCCCAGGCACACCGCACCTGTTAGCACCTCATACACCAGCTGTTGTCTACTTGGCATGGAGCTCCCTTCGTTGGCTGAGACCCCACAGTGGCAGCCCGGAGAGGGGGCTGAGTGAGTGATCGAGGCCCAGCCACACCTCCTGCCGCCCACCTCGCCCTCATCAATGCCCCCGCCACCCATGCCCACACCGGCCAACATGCCTCCTGGCCCAGCATCAGTGCCCACATCTGAAGCTCCTTTTTGTCCTGGAAGTCTGTTCTTCCCTGTCTGTGGGCTGCTATGGGTGACAGCCCCAAAGCCACCTCCAGCCTCTCACTGGTCAAGGGGCCGCACTGCCCCAGCCCTGGCACCAGACACCAATGCTCTGGGCAGCAGTCTGACCTGGCCGGATCCCCCACGTGTCCACTGCGTCCCCACATGTGTGGGATCCTGCAGGCTGGCCACACGTCACCTCTCCTGTGACTCCCTGACCTCACAGCTCACTCACCACAGGCCCTACCCCATGACACCCCAGCCCAGAACCCAGCCCCTTACCCCAGCAACCAATCGCACAGAGGACAGTGGGTGCCACAACTTTACTGAGATTGGGGGGCACACCATGCGGCCATGCTGGTCTGCGAGATGGCATCAAGTGGTGTTCCGTCGCCCCACGACGGGGGATGAGTCCAGTGGGGGTCTCCACCCTGGCCCTCACTCCCGCCGGGCCTCCAGGCGATCCAGCACCAGCGCAGCCTGGGTCTGGGCGTCCTGCAGGAGGCTAGAGACTCTCTGGCGGGTCTGACAAACCATGGATGGTCACTTCCTGCCTGGCGGAGCTCGGCCCCACTCCCTCCCTCGGCCACCACGGCATCCCTCCTGCCCTGCTGCCCACAGACGGTCCCCTGCACCTGCCGACTG